TTGGATGTGGGCTACACCCGGCAGTGCTCACAGGTCATCCCTGTCAGTGCTCAGGGGACTATATATGGTGCCTGAGATCGAACCCAGGTCAGCCACGTGCAAGAAAAACACCTTATAACTGTTACTAACTCTCTGACCCACTATGGGTGGTCGGGAACCAACCCCATGGTTTTATTTTTTATTTTGTGGAGGAGAAAGGGGAGACCGCCTTAGGGGTATTCAGGAGGCCCGGGGGCCATATCATCAATTTTCAGGCAATCAAACCATTGTTTCAACTGCTCCGAACCTACAGTGTCAGGGAGAGCTGGGCAACCCACGCGGGTTTGGGGACCTTCAGTTCCATACCCAGTGATGCTTGGGAAACTTTGTGTCCCGGTCATTGAACCTGTTCTATCTCCTGGCCCCAAACCTGGGTTCTGATTCAGCTGGATCAGAGTTATTTAGGAGCTCATTTATTTCTTAATACCCCAGGGGTGATCTGCTGTACAAATGGAATTGAAAGCTGACATAATAACAGTAGCCAAGATTACTAGTCACCCAAAGAGGGAGATACTGCCTTGTCCAAGATCTTGAGGTGACCGAGGAGCATGGAAGTAGCTTCTGAAGCAATCGGCAAGGGTTGGGGTGCTTTCCATTTCTCTGCTTAAAAGAGGTGGATTTCCAGGTGATTACTGAGTGAGTTTTTTTCTGAAAGTGGTATGGTACCCAAGTCAGTTTGTAAACGTCTGACGCAGACTGTGCTGGACTCCTCGCATATTATCACCAACTCTTCTTTGTGATACTGTTTTATACTCAGTTCATGGAAGAGAAAACTAAGCATAGAAAATTAAGTCAGGGGCTGGACTTTACTTTCTTACAGTGGGTAGGATACTTTCCTTTCATGTGGCTACCCAGGTTCAATCACCGGCACCCCACATGGTCCCCCAAGCCCACCAGGAGTAATCCCTGAGCAGAACCAGGAGTAAACCCAGGAGTAAACAGTGGGGTGTGCCCCCAAAAACCAAACAGAAAAAAGTTAAGTCAGTCATCCAGCGTACCATAATGAGTCCATGGAAAACCTTGGTTCAAATCCCAGGCCCCTAACTGCAGAGCGTGACTGAAGTAGAATAAATAGGTTTGATGTTTGATTATTTGCTGTAAAAATATGCAGTTAAATTTATCAGATATGATGAGTTTCTTTAATCCATAGAGCTTTAAAATACAGACAGGATTGGGGTGTGTGTGTGTGTGTGTGTGTGTGTGTGTGTGTGTGTGTTGGGGTTACAACCAGCAATCAATGCTTAGGGACTATTCCTGGTTCTATGCTCAGGAGTCACCCCCAGCAGTGCCACAGGGCCAGATGTGGTTCCAGGGACACGGAAAGGACTTTCAAAAAGGGTGTGTTCTTAAAATGTTAAATTGCAGGAAAAAATTATTTGTTTTAAAATTATTTTCTTTTGCTTCCTGAGCCAGCCCAGAGAGCTTTTCTTGGCTTGTTTGCTTTCTACCAGTGGAAGAACAGAAAGATGATATCATTTGATTTTTTTGCCTTCCTGCCAGGTCAATAAAATCTATCCCTAATTTAGATACTTATATAAATGAGACTTGGGGTGAGGGGGGTCCATTTTCAGTTATGCACATGAAGTTTGTTAATGACAGAAACCTTTAACATTTTTCATAAAGAAAAGAATATCATTTCTACTGGGCCCCTGCATAAGTGAGAAAGTTGATAACTTTTCAGAATTGTTTTGTGGGGACTTTTTTTAAAGTCTTTATGTTATTGGAGATGAGAACTAGATATGTTTACTGTGATTTATGGTGATGATGTATTAAGAAATCCATAAAACCACATCAGTTCTCATTCTGTCCCTGGCTCCTCAATTAACTGATAATTTTTCATGAGGAAGACCTCTCCAGTAAAGTATTGATCTGTGGGTTGATTTCCTTACGGCCTTTTTATTGCACTGCACACCCCAACATCCTGGGGTTGTTGAAGGAAACGAAGGGGGTTCATAGGAGCCAGAAAAGACTTTGATGACATGTACTTGGAAAGCTGATTTCAAAATCAGTTAAAACTGTAGTGAATGTTAACATGAGGATGAACTTTTCCAATGTTGAGAGCCGTGGGTTTTTATGAATGCTGGCAAGGAGATTTTGTTGAATTTCCTTTTTGTGCCCAACTTTTGCTACTGTTGTTCCTGCTGGGAGCATCAATGACTCCTTTTATGGGGCCCAGTTCCCTCTGTGGCCACATCTTTCTTTCCCTCTCTGCTAGACTAGAGACTTGACTCCTTCCAAACATTCATCTTGCCCTTGGTTGGCAATATCTGTCTTTTCCAAATGGCTCCACTGAATGTTAGTCCCACAAGTAAATATAAACATTAAAGTAAATTAAAAAGTAGTTGTTCCATGGCCAAATACATGTGAGGCATGCTGCATACCTCTGCTTCCATCTTGGCAGTTCACAGTGGTCATAAAGGAGTAAGCAGTCCTGTGGACTAGTAACTTGTTTGTTTAATCTACTGTTCCCAGTAACTTCATCCTTCTTTTTGTGAGAAGGCTGAATGTTGTACATCCATTGCATAATTGCATAATTTGGGCCATGCTAGACTTGATGGTAAGATGAAGAAAAAATTCATTTCTCTCTTAAGATATCACGTTTGCTATCAGCATATTTTGAATAAGCCCTTTCTTTTCTGCTTGTTCATAGGACATCCTTTGTCATATCAAATTCCTAAATATCTTGGGGTCAGCTCCAGAGTTTACTCAGGGTTTATTTATTGTTTTCAAAAGGGTGCATTTGGGACTGGAGCAATAGCACAATGGGTAGGGCATTTGCCTTGCACCCAGCCAACCTGGGTTCGATTCGCAGCATCCCATAAGGTCCCCTGAGCATTGCCAGGAGTAATTTCTGAGTGCGGAGTCAGGAGTAACCCCTGTGCATCACCGGATATGACCCAAAAAAGCAAAAAGCAAAAAAAAAAGTGCATTTGTTAGGGCTTTTGAGGGAAGTCCATGGACTGAAAATTAAATGATCTGTCATAGCAGAACCATTCCTTAGAACCTCCAAGTGGCAACGGTGAATTCTTCAGCAACATCATTAGTGCTTTAAATGAGCAAAAACTGCTTATCCCCCACCTTACTCCATCTTGCCTCACTCAGTTCCTTTTTCTTTTTTCAAGCTTTGGCACCACAGCCCTTAATGCTCTGGGATCGATCCTAATGGTACTTGAAGACTTTGAGTTGCCTCGGATCAAAGCCAGGGCACCCATATGGAAAACATGTGCTCCAGCTCTTTGAGCCATCTTCCCAGTGCCCTTTCCCTTTTTTTTTTTGTAAACAGATAAAAGTTATCAGTTATTATTGGTTGACTGTCAGTTGCTTGATATTCTGGTATTAGTCAAGACTGATATCAGTTGACTATATGCAGATATTAGAAAAGATTCAAATTTGTCAGATGTACCTAGAAATTAATCCATATTTACTTACCTTCATAGTTGCTCTGGATTTATGGGATACCTGAGCTACTTAATATTATAGAATTAATCACATTTTAGTTTGCATTGCAATTTTTAATTGTTCATCTTTTTCTAACTCAGAATTAGCAATTATCAATTGAGCTTTTATTTATTTATTTATTTATTATTTATTGGTTTAGAGTTTACATCTGGCAGTGCTCAGGGCTTACTCCTGACTGTATTCAGGGATTACTCCTGGCTGTGCTCATGGAATGATAAAGGGTGCTGAGTGCTAAGGACAAAACCTGCTGGCTCTGTGTAAGGCAAGCACCAACCCGCTGTACTATCTCTCTGGTCACAAAAGCTGCCAGTTATTTTTATTTTACTCTTCAGATTAGAACTTTTCTGTTTATTTTTTTAGTTCCTTTTTGTACATTTGTGAGGCTAGTACAATTTTCGCTCACAATTTCAGCTTGATCAGCCCACATTTTCCACTCCTAGAGCCTACCCTTTAGATATTTAAATGGTGCTGACATTCTTTTATAGTATATGATAAAGTATATGTGGAAATGTCCTGGTTTTCCTGTGTAAAAGAGGAGTGTTAAGTGACAAGCACAAATGTATGTCACTGGTGAGGAAACTCTTTCAAAGGTCACCAGTTTTTTGTAAAAGAAAGGTAGAACTTTTTTTTTTCTCTTTGCTTTTTGGGTCACACCCAGCGATGCACAGGGGCTACTCCTGGCTTTGCACTCAGGAATTACTCCTGGAGGTGCTCAGGGGACCAAATGGGATGCTGGGAATAGAACCCGTGTCAGCAGCGTGCAAGGCAAACGCCCTACCCGCTGTGTTATCTCTCCAGCCCCAAAATGGCAAAACATTGCTGGATATAATTTGTCCTTCAAGTCTACTATGGACTCTGAACTGGGCCCTGGAGGTGAACCATATGGACTGTTTCCATGACTCAATCCCTCGACTTCTGGTCCCTGGTTCCAGTTCAGCCAAAGATGAGCTCCAGAAGACTGGAGAGAAGGAGAGTGTTGGACTATGAATTCCTCTGACCTCTTTCTTACAGAATTTCCTTGGGTTGGTGGAATCTCTCAGCTGAAGGTCACAACACCTTCCTAGGAGGATTTCTCCTCTGATTCTTCCTGCACTGATGACCACTACCTTCCTTTGCCCTTTGAGGTTATTTTGGGGTGGGGTGAGGGTAGTTGGGTTATACTGGGCAATTCTCAGGGGTTACTCCTTGTTCTGGGCTCAGGAATCTCTCCTGGCATTGCTTGGAGGACGATATAGTATCCTAGGTCAGCCACCTGCAAGGCAAACACCTTACCCACTAAACTATCACTCTAGTCCATGGGCCCTTTAAAGTTTTGAGGTGGAAATTGTCTCAGTATTTCTAGCCCTATCACAGGCCCTTTCCAAATGTACAAGCAGTGATAACTCAGATAGTCCACTCTCCATGTTGGAATACAGAGGCTTGTTTATAGAAATGCTCATTGCTGCTGTTAATCTTTTGGCTAACCATATGTGTACTTACATCTTGTTTTGTCTTTCTCTTAGATCCAAGAGTTCAAGACTGGCTCCTCATGTCCTCGCCTCTGCCACAAACCATCATCCTGGGTCTCTATATCTATTTTGTCACTTCCCTGGGACCAAAGCTTATGGAAAATAGGAAGTCTTTTGAACTCAAGAAAGCAATGATAACGTACAATTTTTTCATAGTACTCTTTTCTGTATATATGTGTTATGAGGCAAGTATCGTCTCTATTCCTGATTATAGAATTTTGCCTGCTTGCCTGTCATTATTTGTTTCTTCTTGTGACTGTTAGAGTAACTTTTAGAGAATCAAGGAATTTTAGAAGCTTGCATTTGTCTCTCCCACAAAAAAAATGTACGCGAAGATCCGATATTGAATTCTTAACATAAAGTATCTCATATATAGTGAGAAAAATTAACATTAATCCCAGGGGCTTGAATATAGGTAGCCTTGAAATATGATTGAATGAATCTATAAATGTTCCTTTATTCATGGCTCAGTCTCCTGCCCAGTGCTTTCTGCTTGGGTTCAGCCAATGCTGAGCCAACAGGTGTCAGAGGGAGAGAGAAGATGGTGTTGGAATATTTACTCTGCCTCTTAACTCAGGAGAATTTCATTGGAATTTCTGTCGAGGAAATTGATACTCAGAGAAAGTACCGTACTTGATATAACAGCCTATCAGGAAAGAAAGAACTGAAGTCTGGAACCTGGGTCTGTCATCCTGACTCTGTAACAAGTTGTCATTAGCAGTGTAGGGACGTTTGGTTTCTACATGTCCAGATGAATGCGCCCTCTCTGCTGTTCATGCACATCCCGTCACCTCACTTGCATAGTTTTCTGGAATTCCTTGCTTCCCTACTGGCTGGCTTCCTCACCTTTTTTTAAAAATTTTTTTTTGATGAATCACCATGAGGTACAGTTACAGACTTAAAAACTTTCATGCTTACGTTTCAGTCATACAATAATCAAGTGCCCATCCCTCCACCAATGTGCATTCTCCACCCCTAGCCCCGCACCTCCGCCTCTGTGCAGGCACAATCCCTTTCACTCTCTCTCCCTCCTTTAGGGTGTTGTGATTTGCAATGCAGGTATTAAGTGGCCATCATGTTCAGTCTATAGTCTACTTTCAGCACGCATCTCCCCTCCTGAGCTGGCCCTCCAAACATCCTTTACTTGGTGTTCCCTTCTCTATCTGAGCTGCTTTTTCCCCCAAGCATGTTCCTCACCCTTTTCTTCCTAACTTCCCCTGCACTGTAGCCTGTGTGTTCTTCTAACTAAAACATAACAGGGCCCACTGTGGGTCCTTATTTTCCCTTTGGCACCAGGGCTTCAGCACATGTGTGCTTCCTAGCTGCTTCCTGACCCGGTTACTTGATCAGCTCACCTTAAGTCTGCCCTGGCCTGTCTGACTTTAGGACTGGGGTTACTGCCTCCAATTTCTTCCACTTTGTTTCCAGAAATAACTCACAGCTCATTTCACACTGTCAGTTCTTTATCACGAGAACTTGAAAGAACTTGAAAGAGACGAAAGGCAGTGGGAAGCAGTGACACTACATGTTTTAGGCTCATGATCGGAGATAGGAGACAGATCAGCATTATGCAGAGTTCTGAACAGACCTGTAAGTCAGGACACCAGCGGCATGTTTGTTCAGTCTTGTTGCGAACTAGCTACCTCATTTGGTGCAAATCACTTAACCTCTCTAGGCTTTGTTTCTTTCATTTCATAAAGTCAGGAGAGAATCAGATCGTCTCTCGGGTCCCTTCATGCTCTGCTATTCTTCAGTTCAGTGGCTGTGTTATTAATTGTGATGCTCATATAAATATTAAGAAGCAAGCAAACAAAAACGAGAAAAGGGGCCAGAGAGATGGCTGAAAGGGCTGGAGCACATGCTTTGCATGAGGAAACTCGGTCAATTCCTGTCACTGTGTAGTACCCTGAGCACTGCCAGGATTGACCCTTGAGCACTGAGCCAGGAGTATTCTCTGAGCACTGATATGTGTGGCACTTACCCTCTCCTCCAAAACTCAAATAAAATGGTCAGGATTAAGGAATAAAGCTAAAGAATCCACTTATAGACAGTTTTTGTTCCTGTTATACAGTTATAATGCAGATGAAGTTTTGAAAATATCTGAATTTGAGAGTTTGCCTCCCATTGCCAATTTGGGCAAGGAAGACATATTTCTTGGGTGAGAAATTTGTCTTATATCTTACAAAAAAATTAATAAATTTTCTTCAAGGAACAAGACAAAGTAGCACAGAGTGACGACTTACATGTTGCACTACTTATATACCAATTATAGGACTTATTAAATGGCAGCTATAAATTATATATGGAAATATATATATGTATATAGAAATCTCCATAAATTCTTTATTTGGGGGCCACACCCAGTTGTGCTCGGGTCGGGGGGGGGGGTTATTTCTGGCTCTGTGCCCAGGAGTGACCTCTGGAAGTGTTCAGGGACCAGGTGTGGTGCTGGTGATCAAACCAGGCAACATGCAAGGCAAGCATCTTACATCCTATGCTGTCTCTCTGGCTTATTCCAGAAATCTTCAACTTAACATCAGGAAAGCTTTAAATGCTACTTGTGCTGTGTAGTAAGACTTTGACATTCCAGCAGCATGCCATCCCAGAATACATGCGAACAGAGCTCATGGAGTGGGGCAAGACTTTATCTGGTACACAGGATACTGCGAAACTTGGAATATTCGGGCAAATATGAACAGAGTGAAAGAGAAACATATCAAACTGAAGTGTCCAACATGCCTTGTTCAATAGTGGTGATAGTTTGAATGTGCTAGTTCCGTGACTAACTTGACACTAACAGAGACCAGTGCAGACCCCACAGAAGGCCAAGTCACACAGCTTCTCCTTTTCACTGTTGTGCTTGTTTGGGTATGGCCACACGAAAAATTGATCATACCAATTTGTAAAGGGCCCGAGTGTTAGTTGCATTAATCAAAAGTGAGTCTATGTGCAAGGGAGGATGGAGACACCACCAATAGGTACGAGCATGTCGTCACTCTGTGCTATTTTGTCTTGTTCCTTGAAGAAAATTTATTAATTTGTTTTTGTAAGATATAAGACAAATTTCTCACCCAAGAAATATGTCTTCCTTGCCCAAATTGTATGTAATTCCTTCAGTGTTTCATGACTTAGCAAGTTAAGTTCTTGTGAATGAAGTTAGTAGGTCCACAAAAGAATATTCCTTTTAAAAACTCTAAATCTAAATAGTTCTCCTTTGTTTTTCTTTACACCATAAAGATGTCATTCTCAGAATGCCTCATAGCCTTTGCTTTTAGAAGTTATTATAAAGCTCTTCCTGTAGATTTAATAATAATTAAAAAGAGAAATATAAAATGTGCTTAGTAGTGGAAAGCAGTGTAGCCATTAACACTCCTGAGGAAGGCTTTCTAGGTAGGGTGTTGGCTCTTATGGGAATACGGTATCAGAGAGGAATTTACTCAAATTTGTCAGAACCTGAAATTTAGATAACCATCTAGCGTGTGAATTCATTTAAAATTAGAACCCTTAGCTTTTCACTTTCAGTTACTGTTCTGAAATAACTTCCCACCGTCCTACTTAAAGAATGTCAATAATATCTCTGCATTTTGCTGCAGTCTTAGGAACAATAGGGTTTTTCTTCTCACCACTAGCCTAAGGTCACTTGGTGGGTGTGTTGGAATGAAAGCCAGCCAGATGATACTCTTGTTAGCATTTCCTCTTGTCAAAAGTGTCTAGAGCACATGGGAATATGAATCTTGTGTTTGTCTTGGTTTTAAGGTCCCGGGATGTCCATTTACCTTACTCCAGTGACAAAAATAAATTCCAACGTGACTGTGGCTATTATCTTATGACTACATTTAGGAATTTTGATCTACCATCTGATTGAATAACTGGGAAAACTGGAAATAATTTGTGCACCCTTGTTCCCGTTAGAGTCCACATACATATGCATGGGCTTATGGAAATGTACAGAAGATAAACCATCTACCAGTGTTTGTTGTTTAGGCAAACCACTTCCAATGTTTTTATTTTTGTGTGTACTATATGTGAAAAGCTAATAATAAAATAATGATAGCATACATTATTTTATTTTCTACCACAAGAAATGGACATTTCGGTGCAAATACGTTTTATGTGAATAATACATAAGCTTCTAATTTTGAAAATTATTGTATTTTGATACCAGACAGGTTCTTTTTGCAAGTGTTGTAGCTGTTTTGCCTCTGTATTGAGTGCTGACTCAGTTGAGAACATAACAGAGCCACCACCAAAACAACTTTCATTGGACTCGTGAAGTGAATGCTCCCTTCTTTAACTCACATGTGCTCTTTTGCAGTTTGTGATGTCTGGCTGGGGCACAGGTTATTCATTTCGTTGTGAAATTGTTGACTATTCACAGTCACCTACAGCATTGAGGGTAAGTTTCCCTTTGGAACAGTTTGTAACCAAAATCAGTGTTAAGACTCTAGAACTCTGGGGGTCAGAGAGATAGTATAGATGTTAAAGCACATGTCTTGCATGTGGTCTGCCCTGGTTCCATCCCTAGCACCACAGGGTTGCAGAGCATCCACTGAACCACGAGTCATGTGGGCTGAGTGTTGGTAGGAGGGGCCCTTGAGCCTTCTCAGCACCCAAATTAAGATTTTTTGTTCTATAACTCTGAATATGGACCTAGAATGAGCAGATGATTTAATGATAATCTGCCACATCCACCCTTCTGTTCTGGGCTTACTCCTGGCTCTACATTCAAGCATCGCTCCTACCAATGCTTGGGTGCTGGGATTGAAGCTGGATTGACTGTGTGCAGAGCAAGAGCCGTACCCTGTACTATGTCTTCGGCCCATAGAGTGATAAATTTTATGTTGTATTTGTTTTGCTAAAAATCTAAAAGCATAAAATTTGCTTCTGTGTTAAAATTAATAAATTAATACGTGTATATCTCTGTGTGTTTGTGCAGATGGTACGCACCTGCTGGCTTTATTACTTCTCCAAATTTATTGAACTATTAGATACTGTAAGTATGTAGTTAACCACACCACATTTGGCCAGTATTTGATGTTCTAATGAAATCAGTAAATTACTAGGATTGGTTGTCTAATAACTTTTGTTATTTTTCCTTCTCAGGTAGACTTTTATTATCAACAATTTTGATAAAAACTTATGTTTTTAGTCACTTACAAATTCTAAGAGGTCTTCTAATATATCTTCTGCCCAGTTAGCATGTCATGTAACTGTCATACGCACACAAAATTTTATGTCTTTATGTAGTGTACTGAGAGTATTTTAGGGACACAAGCTCAGGAAGGCAAGAGCACATGTATTTTACTCTTTCAATATCAGAGTGCTGTCACTCATGCTCCTTTCGAGGAGAAATGCTTTGAAATTCATAAACTTACTAGGATTTAGTTTACTCCTGGCATTACCAGGATTTTTGATGTTACCAAAATTTTCCATTTGCTTTTTTTTGGGCTTTTTGGGTCACACCTGTCGATGCACAGGGGTTACTCCTGGCTCTACACTCAGGAATCACCCCTGGTGATGCTCAGGGGACCATATGGGATGCTGGGAATCAAACCCGGGTCGGCCGCTTGCAAGGCAAATGCCCTACCAGCTGTGCTATTGCTCCAGCCCCATCCATTTGCATTTTTGAAGTCTACAATTACTGAGTCCCCTGTCCCTGAGCATGAATGCTGAGTGTCAGAGTAGGCCATCAGAGAATCCAAAGCCAGCAATGAGGACTATGGCAAGAGGAGAAAGCATTGCATCTTAGTGATCAGGGCACCTTAGAAAGCTGGTGTATCTTTGTGGCATGTGACTCTTAGTTTTGGGGATGATTCTCACTCAAAGCCTGACAAGAGTACTCCATTACCAAAATATATACTTTATGAATCCATATACTTCACCTTCTCAGTTGACTATGGGAAAAGTTAGAATTGGAAAGGACTGAGGTGAGCATAGACTCTGGTGGTTGTCCAACTTTCGCACACCTTAGAACCATCTGGAAGACTCCTGAAGCACACTGACGTCTGGAACTTGCCTCTAGAGTTTTTGATAGAGTGGTTCTTGAGTTGGTCTCAAGAATTTACATTTCTAGCAAGTTCTCAAGTGATACTACTATGGTTGGTCCACATGCCACACTATGAAAATATCTGTGGTAGTGCAAAGTGTTTCTCGGCTCTCAGATTCAGTCAACTTAATTACATTAAGAAGAGTAAAAACCTAGGCTCTTACAAATATTTTGTGTCAGATGGCTTGGATCAGTGACCAGGTATGGCTATTTTAGCAAACCAGTTTAGACTCTTCAGCCAGGGCTGAAAACCATTCATCAATCCACCACTTTCAGTCTGAAAATGAAGTCAAGAAAAATTAAGTTTCTTCTTACTCAAAAGAGTACCGCTCCTGAGGAGAAGTAGAGCTCCAGATCCCTGGTTGATGTTTTGGTTTTTGTTAGACCATGTCACCTTCTACCATGTGCACAAATAAGCAAGTGCTTCTGGCTTCCTTGTTTCTACTTTGCAAGTTCTCAGTTCCATCTTCCATAAGGGAACTGCCTGTGTCTTTCCCTAAACTCCTTGAATGCTTCTGTTTCAGCTACTCAAGTTACATATTATTTACATGTCTAACTCATGACTGGCATTTTGAATTTTGAGTATTTCTAAGCACCATGGTTTTCTATTGAATGTTTTTTTTTTAAAAAAATCCCCCAACACCTTGCTGTTTATACCCTTGCTCTGTTTGCAGAGTTGCTGCAGACCCCAATGTCCTTCAGACTGGAGGGTGCTCTGTTTCTTCCACAGAATAGCTTTGCTTCCATCTCATTTCTCAAACGAACTCTTCAGCTTTTCCCTACTTATTTATTTTTGTTTGGGGACCACACCCAGCTCTACTAAGGGGCTGCTCCAGGTGGGCTGGACCAGGGTAACCCCTGTGGTTCTGGGCACCAAACCTGGGCCCTCACTTTTAGAGCTAGAACCTCAGCTCTTTGAGCTTTCTCCTGGATTTTCACCTTTCTTTAATTTAATTCAATTTTTATCTTCTTTCTTTCTTTCTTTCTTTCTTTCTTTCTTTCTTTCTTTCTGTCTTTTTTTCTTTCTGTCTGCTGACTTTTTATGTGCTGCAAGTTCTTTGTCAGTTTGCTGTATCACTTATCTAAATTGGTTGGATGTATTAAGAGAAATGTAAAATAATTTTTGTCCTAAGAATTAAGATTCTTCTGATTTTCTGTGTATTTCAAAAACCCATTTGGGTATTTTTAACCAGTACCATTTCATTGAATAATTTTTGGCCAGGCCTTCTTCACTGTATAGCTGTGATTTTGATATCTACATATAATTTCCTTTTACTCTTTTATCAATTCTTTAATGACTAGGCCTCATACATGAGTTCCTTCTTCCTAATTAGCTTTGAGCAACCCCATGGAGAATGGACTCTCTCTCTGTAACGCAGTGCTTTCAAAGTGAATATATAATATAGATTGTGCTTTGCCAATATTTTTGTTATACTGGATAGATAATTGAATTTTATGTGAACATGATTTTCCTTAAATTATTTCAGATCTTTTTTGTTCTGCGTAAGAAAAATAGCCAAGTGACTTTCCTGCATGTCTTCCATCATACCATCATGCCATGGACCTGGTGGTTTGGAGTCAAATTTGCTGCAGGTAGCCAAGGGAAAGTTGGGATCATGGGTTGTAAATGAGAACATTTCCTTATATTAGAAGCATAAATTCTGTTTTTAAGTGAGGTTTAAAAGAAACTCAAAACACCAATTGCTAGGGTCATATTTATTACCTTTATTATTAGTTGACAAAGAAATGTAGGAATCTAACTTAGATTCTTCCCTACCTGCTCTTCTTTAGTATGTATTGCTTTGCGGTTCCGTCTTCTACATCTGTCTGGTCTTTAGTTGTTTTGTTTGGAATTTATTCTTTTCTATAGAATTCAATTAAATGACATCAAGTAATAAAAAGAAACTGGTAAAAATATTGCCTTTATTGGAATACAGTTAGGTTATGTATTTCTTTTATGATTCTAGGTACGATAACGTTTTATCTTCAGTTCCATTTCTTCTTAGCTTTCAAACTTCTTATAATAGATACCCACTCCAACCCCTAACAACTCTTAAAAAAGGTTAAATTGCAGTTGTCTCAGTGTCTCTAACCATCCTATGTCTAAAGTATGTTTTGATATATTTTTTTTTGGGGGGCCACACCCAGGCTCTGCACTCAGGGATCACTCCTGAAGGTGCTCGTACGACTGTATGTGATGCTGGGGATCGAACCTGTTTTGGCCAGGGGCAAGTACTACCTGCTGTACTATCACTCTGGCCTTAGGATACTGTTTTTAAGGCAATAATAGTTTAATTAAAAAACCTGACAGATTATCTCTTTGGTGTGGTTTTGGGTTTGTGCTTCTGAAGCATTGATCAGAAAAATCAAAAGTTTAAGAAAATGTGCCCTATCATCAAGTTATGAGTAGCATATCCCCCCAAGACATTAGCAGAAGTTGGTTAGAGAGCTTACTAAAGCTAGTTTCTTAAATTTAGGAAGTCTTGGGTTCAGAGAGACAGTAAAGGGTATAAGGTGCTTGCCTTGCATCTGGCTGCTGGTTCGATCCCTGGTTGAATATAAGATATCCAGGAATGAACTCTGAATACAGATTCAGGGGTATCTCCTGAGTACCACTGGGTGTGACCCAATTCACCTTTTCAAATTTAAGAAGCCCTCCAGTAGGTTCTGTAGCCCATCTCAGCTTACCTTATTTCCAATAAGACTAAGAGAAGAGAAGAATCACAATTGATGCACGAGCATTAGATTCTTTTGACATGGGGGGAAACCTGCAGGCATCTGATCGTCACAGGATGTGAATAAGACAGTGGCAGGAAGGAGAGTCTAGAGGAGTCTAGAGGAAGCTGAAGGCTGTTCTAAGGGACATCCTATTCTGTTGCCCCCAATTACCATTTGCTTGGGATTTTTATAGTAATGTACTTTATTTTTCCTAATAACACATGTTCACATGAAAGTTTAACTCATAGAAAATTAACCTCATCTATTTTCATTCCATAAATCTAGGATAGCTGGGATTGTTTGTTCTCTGTGACTTACCAATCTTTATTTTCTGTTTCTGTTTTCTCTCAAATACATATTGTACCTTCTGGTCCTTTCTATAGTGATATTTATTGGCACTTTATTTATGTTGGTTAAAAGATAAACTGAATAAATTGGGCTAAATAGTTAGTGAATAAGGTGCTTGTCTTGCACTCTGCCAGCCAGGAGTGATGTCTGAGCACAGAACCAGGAGTAAGCCCTGAGTAACACTGGGTGTGCCCTTTCGCCCCAAAAAACTATTTTTGGATAATGCCTAAATCTCCACTGACAAAATAATTATTATTTCTTGTGTATATAATTGTGAAATGCAAATGATACTGGTAACAATTTAGCTATTCTGTAAAGCAGCTTAACTCAGCAGTTGTCAAGTAGATCACTTCTATTTTTGGAGTATACCAGAAAAGGTGCTTTCACACTCCTACTATTTATTCATTACTCTTATTATTATTTTCATTGATTTGGGCCACACCTGGAGATGCTCAGGGGTTAGTCCTATCTCTGCACTCAGAAATTACCCCTGGTGGTGTGTGGGAAGCCATATGGGATGCTGGGCATTGAACTTAGGTCAGTTGCATGCAAGACGAGCTCCCTACCTGCTGTACAACCTCTCCAGCCCCTATGGCTTACTTATTTAGATGTCTCTCAAGATATCAGAAGACCATATCACAACAATAAAAGTTAAAATTAGGGTGAGGATTGAAAGGTAGTGCCTCAGGATACGGTGATGCAGAAATATTGACATTAAGAAGGATTTTCCTTGCTTTTATATCTCTACTGAGAAAAATTAATTACCTTGAAGTTTAGAGTTAAGCAATTTTCTAATGTCCATCTTTGGTTGCACGGAGATGTGTAGCTGGCATTTAAAAATAAGCAGTGGGGCCGGAGTGGTAGTACAGTGGGTAGGGCGTTTGCCTTGCACGCAGCTGATCTGGGTTCGATCCCCGGCATCCCATATGGTCCCCCAAGCACCACCAGGAGTAATTTCTGAGTGCAAAGCCAGGAGTAACCCCTGAGCATTGCCGGGTGTGACCCAAAAAGCAAAAAAATAAAAATAAATAATAAAGCACTGTTTTCAATCATGAAAATTTAAACACACAGTATTTTCCAATGGTACTGTGTTGTAGACATCAAGCACATCGCAGTGTTCATCATCCGAACCTTCATATTTTGTTTTATGAAACATAAACTTCACTGCACTGTCCTCCCGTTGGTCATCGATTTGCTCAAGCAGGCCCAGTAACCTCTCCATTGTGACACTTGTTACTGTGTTTGGCATATCGAATACGTCACGGGGAGCTTGCCAGGTTTTGTCATGTAGCATGAAACATAAAGTAACAGGAAAAAATGTTTTTCTCTCCTTTGTCCTATGCATTCACCTTTTGGTTCATCTTTCCTGTGGGATCTGGTGGGTGCGTGTCAGCACACCTGGTCTTTGCTTAGAGAGCAGCAAGATCTGAGCGCTTCTAGAAATTTGGTTCCTGCATTTCTGTTCCTAGGTTGAAACTGCCCATTCTCAACTGTTCTTTCAACCATTTGAGTACAGCTGATCTCAATATCATATTTAATTTCCTGTTTGCCTATTGTATTTCTCCTCTATGGGATAAAAGCAGTCCAGTTTTTCTTTTGAGAATAAAAATGTTAGTGGCAGGTTTTATTAATTATGTATAACTCCCTTCCAAAGGTACAGAGAATCGTGATAATTACCCAGGTGGTTCCTTTTTTTTTTTTTAACCAAACCAAAGGTATAACATCTTATGGTATTGTTTGTAATTGATTCTGAATGTTTGTTCTTCCAAACTTGTTTCATAAAGAAAAAACCAATCTTAGAAAATGCCTTATTAGAAAAGTCCACCAAAGAAGATATGAAAATATTGCTGATTAAAATGATTGTTGTGAGCAAATATTAGACGAGCATCAGAAAATAATAACTATAAAAACTTAGCAAGGCAATTTTGATAATTAATTTAGATTTGCGACTCTTCCTAAATAAACATTATCAGCCACACTAATGCTTTGTCAAAATTCTACCCACAGAATTCTTATTTTGGAATATTTATAAGGTAGAAGTTTCCAAACAGATAATAGATGCTTTCTACAAAAAATAAATAAGTAAATAAGGTGGAGGTGTCTTAGTAAGAAAGCCTGTGGTGTAGTTCATTTCACAGAGTATATATATAATAGTGAGACACAAATGAACTTAAGTGATATTTAGTTTGGGTTCACAGTAAGCATTTTAATTCCTCTATGATAAAACAGGCAACTGTTGTTTTAAAATTACCTAGAAAAGGCATTTTCCCACCACTTTAATGTATTTGCTCAAATACATTTCTTTTGGGAAATAAGACTAATAAGATGTAAACAAAAAGTCTGGGAGATTGTTACAAGCTTCATTAATTTAATTTCTTCTTTAAAATTTGTGATAACTGGAGGATACACTCAAAGTTTATTTACTTTCAGAGAGAGAAGTTTATAAAGCACAGTGCAACTTCAGTGAGACTTAGGGAAATATTTAGATTACTTGAAACAAGCTATTTTAGGGAGGTACTTTAGCAGTGGTTGTTTCTCCAGGTATCTACAATTGGTGCATTTCTGAATGATTATTAAAAATAGTGTCTACTGTGCAACAATACTTATGACGTTTGTTTTTAGAAGACATGAAGATTTTAAATTTATATTTTCTTTCAGTTTTCTGAATTCATAGTGTATATGATTTCATTCTTCCTTTACCCTAATTAGTCAAGATTTGTGAGTCTCTCTTTTTTTTTAATTTTTCTTCTTATATTTATTTATTGAATCATTGTGGGAAAAGTTACAAAGCTTTCAGGTTTAAGTCTCAGTCATACAATGATCAAACACCTCTCCCTTCACCAGTACTCATTTTTCACCACTAAGAACCCCAATATACCCCCCTCCCACCCCTCCCAATGCCTGTGAGGCAGATGATTTCTACTTAACTCTCTCTCTACGTTGATAACATTCATTGTTTTGACAAAAGATGCACCATTATTGTTTAGAATTTCCCCCCCAACAATCAGAATTGCTGAAAAGGCATTGTGAAATACTTTGTTTTCTGTAGCTGGTATGAGAATCATATAATGTGGCGTGGCTGACAATTTTGGATTTCTGCAAAGAGCCAGAAAATTACGAGATTGGTTTCTGTGCGTCTGGTGTTATGGCTGTGCCAGAGAGCCACTCGTGGGGGGCAACTCGTGACCTTGGTAGGGCGTGAAGGATGAGGCAGTACCGTCCCCCTTCCCATGAGACTGCAGTTGCCCCATCACCGCTGGCTCATACCCGGCTTTCCAATAAGCTCTGAGGCGCGTTGGCCACCTTACTACAGGGGGAAGGCGGAAGGGAGCCACACCCTTTCCCTCCCGGGGAGGCATGGCATGGAGTTTAATGCATGGACCATTCACTTTTCTGCCGCAAGCTGCAGGGCTCTGGATTAAGTCCTTTTGCCTCTGGAGTCATAGCCATGCCGGAGAGCCGCTCTGGGGGGCAACTCGTGACCTCGGTAGGGTGTGAAGGACGAGCTGGTACCGTCCCCCTTCCCATGAGACTGCAGTTGCCCCATCACCACTGGCTTATACCTGGCTTTCCAGTAAGCTCTGAGACTGCGGCCACCTTGCCAACGGGAGCGGGGAAGGAGGGGCCGGGAAAGGCAGTCTCTTCTTTATTTATTTATTTATTTTTTTATTAGTGAAACACCATGAGGTACAGTTGTAGATTTACAAATTTTTGTGCTTGGATCTCGGTCATACCACGATCAAATACCCATCTCTTCTTTATTGCTGGAGTTGGATAATATAAGAATAAAGAAAATGGTACATTTGAAGAATACATATAACTTATAAATCAACTTTACTAGGTTTATCAGGCAATGCAAGCTCTAATATACACATTTATAAGACATGGATAAAATTTGAAAGTATTCTGTTGATTGAAGAAGTTTAGCACAAAAGAGTATATCTCATGTAATTCATAAGTTGGTCAACAGGGAAAATGAATAGTTGCTAAATGTCAGAATAATGGTCATAGGAACTGAGGAAACAGCTTAAAAAGCTGGAGTTTGCTTTGGATGCAGAGGCCCAGAGTTTGATCCCCTGCATTGTAGAGTCCCCTGAGCATGACAGAGAACCCTGGTGGCCCCAGAATTTTGGGGTCTAAGTAGCATCATGTGCTGGGCTTGAGTCTAGGCTTCCATCCCTCACAGTTGGGCTGAATATTGCTGTAAGTGGCCTCTGGACTCCCCGGCACTCTTGGGGTTCACTCCACCCTCAAAAGAATCAAACTTATAGTGTGAGGAGTATATATATTCCTGGAAGGAATGCTGTTACCTAATGATGTGGTGCTGGAAATAATGATTGAACCTGGTAGTAGTTATATACATTTGTCAAAAATTAAGTCATCCATCTGAGATTAATGTAATTTGTGAACTTTATATTAACCCTCACTAAAAAGTGAATTTGATTAGCATTAGTCAGCAGTGTATCATGTTTAAAAAGTAAGTTAATTTGCTAACATAAACCTGCATCACAAGATTGCCAGGGTTAAATCATAACAGAATAAACATGCTGATTTATTTTCTCAGATTCGTTTCTTCTGTTTCACTAAATGTTTTATCAAACCCTCTCTAATTTCTTGACTACTTAAATGCCAAAATTGATATTTTATATGCATCTTCTCTACTAAAGTTAAAAAAAATCATTGTATTAAAACTTCAGTTAAAAATATTAGCTCGGGGCCGGAGCGATAGCACAGAGGGTAGGGTGTTTGCCTTGCATGCTGCTGACCTGGGTTCGATCCCCGGCATCCCATATAGTCCCCCAAGCACCGCCAGGAGTAATTCCTGAGTGCAGAGCCAGGAATAATCCCTGAGCATAGCTGGGTGTGACCCAAAAAGAAAAAAAAATATTAGCTCAACCATAAGGAATGTTTTTCTATAATTTTATTTTGCAGGTGGCTTGGGGACGTTCCACGCCTTCCTGAATACAGCAGTACATGTGGTCATGTATTCTTACTATGGACTGAGTGCGATGGGACCGGCCTATCAGAAATACCTGTGGTGGAAAAAATATTTGACAACATTACAGCTTGTGAGTAATTACCTGACTTTGAAATCACATGAAAAACCTAACTGGGTGGGGGAGGGAGCGGTGTGAATGGATAGATCGCATAGGGGTTAAGGCACTTGCCAGATGTCAAACCTAACTGGAAGGCTGAATGGATAGCCTAGGAGTTAAGCACTTGCCTTGCGTGTGGCCATCCCATGCACTGCCAGGGATCACTCCTGAGCACAGAGCCTAGAAGCAAGAGCCTCTGAATACTGCTGGGTATCACCCAGAAGCCCTCCCCCATCCCCAAGTAATAATCAGCTAAACTTAGTCCTTTATCTTCCCTGTGTTTGAGGATACTAACTAAATAAAGGATCATGTTTAGAAAACAAGAAAGGCATACAATGTCTGGCCTCACCTAGCATCCCATCATTATCCTTTCTAAATTATTTGGACTTCCATGGGAGTTTTATTGAAAGCAATACTTATGGAATAGCTAAAACACTCGGACAAAACAGCATATATATTTCTATGCAACCTTTATGCTAGTTTATACACTTAAAATAGATATGTAAGATAGGTAGCTCTGAGTCAGCACTGCATGCTGCTCTTCTAGCACCTATGGTAAGGCATGGAGATCCCCAGCACTGATATATTTATATATCTATATAAATATAGATATAGACAGATATAGATAGATACAGATGTATATTTTATATTTGTATATATATGCATATATATGTATGCACATATGTATTTTTCATTTATATATGTGAACAAAATAACCCTCAAAGATTTGCAAACCTCACCAGATATATTTTAAATCATTACTGAGAAATTCATATGGTCCTATTCTATTTTTCTGTAGTTCATAATTTCCTATACACTCAATGATCTTGAGTGCCTATGATCTTGAGCTTCATGGGTGCCTATTTTTCTAGTGCTAATATATAGTAGTATGTTCTTCCTTACTTAGCCAAACTACTATGGAATATGTATATATTGGCAAACCAAAATACTTATAGATGTGTACATCTGTACACAAATTGCTATGTAAATTTGAATTCTGTCCTCTAGTAAATAATTTTCAAAAGAACAGGTTTTTATTGAGACAGGTTTAATAATATTTTCCAAGCATTAATCATAAAATATATGGCTTTATTTTTAGAGTCAACCTTATGTTTGATATGATAACTTTCTTTAGGTTGTATTCTTTTTGTTAAAAAAGAATTCTGTGATCTTCATTTTTTAGAATGTATAACTTGGTGCCACATTCTGCCTTAATCCTATGGAGAATATAAATCTAGTAGACAGCCTACTGAGTTTTATTTCTGAAAATATTTTTATTTTTTGAAATAAGATAAATGAAAAAATAGTTTCATTTCAGAAAATATTATAGCTGAAGTAAAATTTGGTATGTGTATATAATGCATTCTCTCCAACGTGAGGGATTGATATATTAGACTGTGAGGATATCCACTCATATCAGAAGGATATTCTCTTGGGTTTTGGGTATGGTTTTTTTTTTTTTTTGGTGTCAGGGGTGGTGCTCTCCCCAGCAGTGCTCAGAAAGCTCTGGGACCCTTCCCAGCCTTCTTGACCTATTAGGTCAGTGGTTCAGTGCAAGGACCCTGTGGTGATGGAGACTACCAGGTCAAACCTAGCCTTGTTAGGGACCACCAGAGTCATATCCAGTGATAACCAGCAGCCTCCAGGGTTACACTTGGAAGATGTCAGGTGATCAGCCGTATGGTGCCAGGGATTGAATCAGGGTTGGCCAGGGTAAACACCTTAACCTCATACTCTCTCCTGACACCCTTATAGTTAATAATTGTATAAAAAATTGACAATACCCTGATTAATCCTAGAAAATGGTAAAATAAATTATTTTAATTCAATTGTTTCATTGTTTTGTGGCCACACCTGGCAATGATCAGGATTACTCCTGACTCTATACTCAGGGTTATTCCTGGCGGTGCTCAAGGGACCATATGGCATGCAGGGGATTGAACCCTGGTTGGCCACGTGCAAGGAAAAAGATAGCTCTCCAGCCTCTATTTTAGTGCATGCTGTGAAAGAGAAGGAAGCAAGGGAAATTTCAGTTGCTGTCCAAGTATTTTTTTTCTGATTGTGAAATAAAACAAGTTTGTTGCATAGGAATCAGAACATTGATTTAAGAGAAAGAAAACGAAATAAAAATCCCATGACTCATGGACAATCAGTATGGATATTTTAATTTTATTCTCACATGGTTTTTCTCTTTTGTGCACCAATGTATGTATCTTTTGCATGATTTGTATTGTATAACACAATTTTGTATTAGGCTTTTAAATATATGATCGATGGGGCAAGAGTAATATAGTACAGTGGGTAAGATGTTTAACTTGCATGTTGCTGACCCAAGTTCAATCCCTGGAACTCCACATGGTCCCCCGAGCCCTGCTAGGAGTGTTCCTTGAGAACAGAGCGAGGATTAAGCCTCAAGCAAAGCCAGGTGTGGTCCTAAAAGAAACAAAAAATGATAAATAACATAAGAGCCAAATCTGGTATTGCTGAGAGCATGTGCGCTACCAATCAACTGTCTCCCTAGCCCCTGTGTCAGGACTTTAAAATTCTTTTTTTTCTTTAAGCAAATAAGAACAACTTAGTTTATTTTATTCTTTTTTAGTGATTCATTTCTGATATAATTTATTATTTAAGTAACACACTATTACTACTTTTAAATGTTGCTAAAAAGTATAATGATGTGGAAAAATGCAGATCATTTCAATGAAACAAAAACATACTTCGCTCATTATTGAGGTTGTTGTTTAGCTTTTCTGTGGTTCCATTTTCTCATCTAAAAGATGAGAAGAATAAGCATAGCTATTGCACAGGACATGTCATGAAAGTTCCTAAGACAAGGCCAGGAAAGGTACTGATGATAATGAAAGAAAAGTGTGAAAATCTTAACTATAGTTATAGCTTATTGATCATTTGTGAGTAATTAACATCTTAATTTATTTTTACCAATCTAAAATGTCCACATGTTGCCTTTAAGTCAGAAGGAGAAAAGATATTGCCCCAAATAGTGCAGCTTAGAAAAATCTCTAAGTACGCTTGGAAAGTGTCAGCCTGAGTAATACTGTACAGAGCTCATGGCTGTCACCAAGTGATCACTCATGCCGTCTCCCTTCTCCAGGTCCTCTGTGACCTCTGGTGAACTTTTACCTCTGAAAACGGTAGACAAGGGATAGATAGGATGACTCAAAGATGCTTTGGTTCCTGTCAAGCTACAGGGGCTATAATTTGAAAGTGAAATACCTGGCCTACCAACAAGTCAGAATATCTGAAATTGGAATGATCATGGAAAATGTAGCCTAAACATAGTAGTCCTATGAGATCTCACCAGTTAGGGTCTCTGTGGGTGCCCTGGGAGTGGCAGTATTATGGTTCTGAAACCACTGACTGAAATGGGGAGTCGCAGAACTGGCAGGAGGGCCAGGCTAAATGGCGTTTCCAAATTCCCATCTGGATTCTGACCCTGTTCCTCCCACTCTAACTCCCATAGGGAGAGACTAGACTGAAAGATCAAATTCGCTGCCCACAGTAGCTGCTTGTAACTGGAGGGGGCTTGAACAAGGCGTTGAAGAATGCATTAGAGAATTGCTTCATTGTGAGCTTTCAAATATGAACTTAAAAAAAACTTTCATCTTTTAGGTCCAGTTCATTATTGTCACCATCCACATAGGCCAGTTCTTTTTCATGGAGGATTGCAAGTACCAGTACCCCATCTTTCTGTACGTCATTATGAGCTATGGATGTATCTTTCTGCTCCTCTTTCTCCATTTTTGGTATCGTGCCTACACCAAAGGTCAGAGGCTGCCCAAAACTGTGAAAAATGGAGTCTACAAAAGCAAAGATCACTGAAGTCCAAACACATGAATCCATGAATTAGACTGCTATTTTGTCATCCTTGACAATCAACAGGTATTTCCATGTGCAGTGCTTTTTGTATATTTTTCAAAACCAAATGCTTGTATTTTTATGATCAGTCATTAGGGTTTCTGAGAGTCCGAAGCTCCCAGATAACAGAATCTTCTGATAATTTGAGCCTGAAGCAGCCAGTTTTTCAGCTGCTTTATAAGTCTACTTACAGAGGTTTTGTTCAGTACATTTTGTTACACTGAAGGAAGATGTGAGAAGTATAGTACTCTTCAAAGAAGTCCGGTCTAGATGAGAAATATCAGTAGATATTTTGATCACGGACAGAGATCTAAGTACAGTAGATTCCTTCCACTGGGTCTGATAACCTCGAGCTGTGAGCTTTGGCTTTGCTGCTCATTGACTGTGGTCAAGTTAAATTTCCTTCCAAGATCTAACACAGATGAGCAACAAGTAAATTTCCAATAAGCTGTCATGTAAAATCACTAATAACAATTCTGTGAGGCGATACCAGGAATTGATCACAGTTCCTCATGATTGTGAGGCATGCACTGTCCTCTGAACTGTTTCCCTGGCCCCCAGCAATAATTTTTAATAATCTCTTGAGTAGCTGCCACTAGTCCTGCTGTTAAGACTTTCTCGTAACACTTTTGTTGTATAAACTTAAAAGTGACACCCCTTCCAGTTAGCACTTGAGCTAATACTTAATGCACTTGACACAAAAGTTAAGGTAATATTGTGAAAACAAGATGATTTGTTCTGATGATTTATGAACACTTTGTTAATTGTGTTTTGTAACTTCCTGTCTGTTTCTGGAAAGAGGTGAATCTGTCAATGGAAAAGAACTCTGTTGTTCAGTGGTGAATCTACGTTGTCTGCTGTAATGTCTTGGATTTGTCCTGGTATAAAGAATCATCTTGGTTATATAATACATATATGTTGTTAGATATGAAGATATTCATATCATTAGCATGCTGCATGAACCCTAATGTCGTAAATGATTTTCAATCATCTGGTATGCAGAGATGGGTTGGAAGAGTAGTTTGTGAAATGGATTGCAGGCACAGGTGGTATGGGGATTATCTAGGGAATATTCGTTTATATAAAGATCTCTTTACAAAGAGAAAGAAAGGGTCAGGGAATTGAAAGCACATACTTTGCATGTCAGACCCAGGGTTGATCCCTGGCCCAGTGTGGCATCCCCTGCCCCAACATTACCAGAAGCCCCTGAGCACCAGACCAGGACTAATTACCAACCTCTTAGCACTGCCGGGTTTGGCCCCAAACAGAGAGAAGGGTACTACATCATAGTTGTTTCAGATGCACTATGTAAAAAAATTATTCCAGAAATATGAATTGACAGCCTAAATTTTTTCATTAATAAAGTACTAAAATTTATCTTAGAAAGGGTTTCGTTCTTAAAAATTATTTTATAATATTTTGTTTTTATAGTTCTTGTTGGAGAACAAAAACTGCTGGTTAATACAATTTTGTCCAAGAAAGAACACTATTTGAACCATTCTAACTTTTTTGTAAAAATTTTCTTGTTATATTTATACTCGGGCTGGAGCAATAGCACAGCGGTAGGGCGTTTGCCTTGCACTCAGCCAACATGGCTGACCCGAGTTCGATTCCTTAGCCCCTCTCGGAGAGCCCGGCAAGCTACCGAGAGTATCTCGCCGGCATGGCAGAGCCTGGCAAGCTCCCCGTGAGGTATTCGATATGCCAAACACAGTAACAAGAAGTCTCACGATGGAGACGTTACTGGGCCCGCTCAAGCAAATAGATGAACAACGGGAGGACCGTGGACCGTGGATATTTATACTCAGCTTTTAAGACCTGTCATGCTCATCTGACTCAGTAATGAGTTCTTATGGACCTCAGTTATGTAACACACAATGATGCTTCTTGTCCAGCAAATCACGTGGCTTTATTTGCTGTCACATCCTTTAATTTTGTGCCTCCCAGTTTGCTCATCTGTACCACAACCCCTCTCTTCACACTTACCAGATTTGTAATTATTTGCCTTTATGTTGCCATTACTGATTTTACTTGCTTGCATTGTGAGAAGATGAAGCTTGATAAATAAGGGGAATTTCATGGTTATTTAAATAAAGGAAAAAAGAACAGAAGAGCAAAGTTAAAAAGCAGCTTTGTCTTATTGTTTTGTGAGGTTTGCATGGTTCCCAAGAATTTTCTTTGTGGAGAGAGGAGGGTCTTTAAATCTAGTCTTTGCTAAAATGAGAAAATGGGATAGATGTTGTTAAACAAGCATAGCATTCCCAAAAATCCAAGCAGGGTAAAGACCAAAAGGAAGTAAAAGTGAAAGAAGACAAAGGAGTTTGCTTGCTTTTCTTTTCCTTCCTTCCTTCCTTCCTTCCTTCCTTCCTTCCTTCCTTCCTTCCTCCCTCCCTTCCTCCCTCCCTTCCTTTGCATAATTTTCAGTTTGCATCAAACCACCTCTCCTAACTTGCCACCAACTTTGACTTGAAGTCTAGACACAGTACAGGGTTAAGACATTCACCCTACACATGCCAATTCCGGTTCAATCACCTGGAACCATATATTCTTCATAGAGCACCATAAGGAGGGATCCCTGAGTCCACCAGGTATGGTCCAGACCCCTGCTCCACCCCATCCAAATAAGTTTGTGAATAAGTAGCAACGTGTGATGGAACCACAGATGATATGACATGATTAGAAGTGGAGAACTTGGATGTTACATGAAAAGAAGTATCCTCCATGTAACTTAGTAGCGCATCATGATTATGACTGGACAGTTTCACTTGGGATCTCACCCTGCTTTTCAGGACTTTATTGCCTTTGAATTTGTTTAGTCAATAAAATCTAGTTTATGACAAGTGATTTTTAAATCCTTGAGAATTTATGTCTACGCTATGAATAAATCACTGTCACTGTCACTGTCCTCCTGTTGTTCATCGATTTGCTTGAGCAGGCCCAGTAACATTTGTGAGACCTGTTGTTACTGTGTTTGGCATATCAAATCAAATACTTCATGAGTAGCCTGCCAGGCTTTGCCTTGCAGGCGAGATACTCTCTGTATTTTGCCGGGCTCTCCAAGAAGAGCAGAGGAATCGAACTCTGGTTGGCCGAGTTGGCCGCGTGCAAGGAAAACGCCTTACCCGCTATGCTATCGCTCCAGCCTGAATAAATCACATATTAAAAATTTAAATACTTATAGGTCATTCCCATTTTATGGAGTAGATGATGTTGCCATATAAATTACAAAACCCTGAAGTTACATTCCCTCAATTACTGTGTTCAAAAATTAAGAACTGCAAAATGCCATCGATACCGCCAGAGCTTGAGTTTGTTTTTATTTGTGTATCATAATAAATTTGTTTTGTCATGAGGCCAACGTGTAGTACAGGAGATAGGGCACTTGCCTTGAACATGACCAACCCAAGTTCTATCCGCAGCATCCATTATGGTCCCCAAGCCCACGAGGAGTAATCCCTGAGTGCAGAGCCTGAAGTAAGTCCTAAGAGCCCTTGAATGTGGCCCCGAAACAAAAAATAAATAAAATAAACTTGTGGTGTCAAATATACGTGTGTATCTTTTCTTTTGGAATCGAACTGCAAACGTTTGTATGGGTAGATGGTTTTTCACCTGAATATGCATTTAACTTAAGTAGTTTACACTTTTGTTGTCCATTTGCTATGTCCTGGGCACTGTGCTGGAAAGTAAAGCAATGCAAAGATGCCTATGACTCCTGGAACTGAATGATGTTAAAGGATGTAGGGGAACAGAGAGATTGCATAGAAGTTAAAACACTTGCCTTGCATGTGGCTGACACTCACTCAATCCCTGACATATATGTTCCCTAGACATTGCCCTAAATGACCTTTGTGCCCTGAGCAAACAGGAGTTCCCCTGAGCACTGTCATGTATGCCCTCCTCCCAATAACACAAAAAGAATAAAGGATATTATGCATTATAGGTGCCATGTATATGAAAGTCCTATTGCTTCAAGGAAGGATTCATGAAGATATTTAACTTTGAGGAGTCTTTACACAGAATATCAAAATCAGTGGTAGAGTGTTGACAAGATACTCAGTAGAAAGTTTTTAAAAGGCAACACCTACAGGAAGAAAGTTTTAGAAATATTGGAGAATGATCAGTGGACCAAATAAGATTGAAGCTTTCTGTCAGTGGATAGTAGGTCAGTAAGGAAGGAGGGCTCTGATCTTGGGGACCTGCTACTCCAGCCTCAGTACTTAATTCTCCAGGCACAGAGAACATTCTGCTGAGAGAGAAGAAACTGCATATGGTATCTTAAATAGTCTTATAGTTAGTGAGTTGTGGTCCTGAAACAGAATTAGTTGACTTAGGGTGAAGTGAAGAGAGCCAGAGTGTGTGAGAGCCTTCAGTGGGAGACTGGGGTCTGACAGCTGATTGATCAAGGATGGATGGTGTCAGAGGCTTCTGAGAAGCAGTGTGATGGTATGAAAATAGCCTCAACCTGAAGCTCTGAGCATGTGTGTTCATTGCCAATTTGGACAAGCCAGTTACCCTCTCTCAGCTTGTTTCTTTACTGGTAAAATAATAGTATAGGTCCTCCTTGCTGGCTTATTGCAGGACTTAAATGAGACCATATATTTAAAAGCCCTTTACAGTAATTGGTAAAAATATAAAACACATAGGCACAGAGAATGTAGATTAACTAAATTTGAGTTGTGTAATCAGGAAGGTGCATCTTTGGCAGCCTCAGGTGGAATGAGGTCTGTGATTTTGGGGGAGGAAACTTGAGGGCAGACATCCCTGTTTCCAACACATGCAGGCATCTAGGAAGGAACAGGCTTTTTGCACAGCTTGTGGTGCATGCCAGGCTGCCCCAGAGAGACTAAAGGACTCTTACTATTAGGGGGCTATGGATTTTGTTGACAGCTGGTTCAGGGTAGGCTGTTGTGAACATATGACCCAATAATCCCTACAAACTGCAACAATAAGCACCTAAAAGAAGTCGTGTTCCTCTAACAGGTAAATATATCTATGTACTTGCCAGAGCCCACAGGAGTCAATGAATTAAATAGAACCAAGTCAGTCAGAATAATGGTCAGAAATGGGAAATAATTTGGATTATAAAAATGTTAAGTTATCTTCTTGGAGTGATGAGTTTGTGAACTAAGATGCATACTTGACATGTGGAGGTAAAATTGCCTGTAATCCTAACAGAGAAGTTGCTGTTATTCTCTCCACGAATTGAAACCAACTACTCAGGGATCTCATATCTTGGAGGTCACTGAATTAGCATTCAGTTCTGATTCACAAATTGATGCAGTTTATTTTAGTTTCAATTGATAGCTCTGTGTTGTCACACAGAGTAAAATGTTAAATGTCACTTTTTACATTATGCTATTTATTATTATGTATTTTGCACCTGTGTATTGTATAAGTAACTCTCCAGTTTTATTCCACGAACGAATGGTGAAATAAATCAAGAGAAATGTTTGCCATAATCCTACTATCATTTAAGAGTAATCGCAGTTGCCTAGAAAGCAGCTTTGGGACAGTGATTTTAAGACTATATATCCGTTTCATATTTATAGGCAATGTAGCCCAGCACAGCAGTCTCTCATTTGAAGCCTGACCCTTTGTCATTTTATTTCACTGAAGAACACTTTTGCATTAAAAATACAATATGTTTTTATTTAGTCAAACAAAGGACTTATTAAGATTTGTTGTAGCGGCTAATTCCCCCTAATTAAAGGGGAGAAGGGAAAGTAGATCAGTGCTCAGAATCCGTAGCTGAGTGCTGATGCCAGGTGATAATCATAATTGATGTGTGGAAAATGATGGTGAAGGTGGTAGCAATAGTGGTGATTTAGTGGTTGATATGATGTGGGAAGTAATAGTGATGATGATGGTGGTGGTGGTGAGAGTGATGGTGGCAGATACGGTGGTGATGGCTGTGGTAGTAGTTGTGTTCGTGGTGGTAATGATGGTAATGGTAATAATGGTGGTAGTGGTGATGGTGGCAGATGTGTGGTGATAAAAGTCATAACGGCAGATGTGTTGGTGATGATAGTGGTAAGTATTGGTGGTGGTGAGGGTGATGGTGGCAGATACGGTGCTTCTCATGGTGGTCAGAGTGTTGTTGAAGATTGTGGTGATGGGAGTAGTAATGGTGATTGTGGTGGTGGTAAAGGTGACAGACATGGT